TATTTTATCGGGAAATCCAAACAGCATTCAAAATACAGGGGAAAAGCAAGTCAAGAAGAAAAAGAAGGGCCGATTCGTAATGAAGAAACAATGAATTTCAGAAAAATGCAAAAAAAACATACTAAGCCTCAACCATGTTTGCTTCAACTCCTCTAAAGTTGGTCGACGTGTTTCAAACGGTATTGCCCGAATACGATCATCACTTTTCTCCAGATGAAAATTTTTTGATTTTTCAAAGAAAATTTGCCTGAAAATACGAACGTTGACCGTCAAATACGCCTCTTTTGGCCCAACAATCTCTGTTTTCATTCTCCCAGAGGGGCGAAAACACTCCATGTGTTATGCAAATGTCCCGTCTCGTGACTCCAGTTACCCCTCCGTGATATATAATGATGTGATTAGAAATGAAATCAATACTGTTCTGTGGTGCCAGATTATTACTGCGGCGTAGTTTCGAAAGTACCCTTATTGGTAATTCGTACCAATCAAGGTACTTTCGCTGGTAATTTCATCACTTTTGAAAAAAATTTTTTTTTGAAAATTTTGAAAGTGATCTTTAATCTTCTACAAAATACCACTAAAATTACCTCTGTACTGTTGAGCAGCGTAGAAAGATAAGTGGGGTTTCTTCAAAATGATCAGACCAACTGGCCAGTAAACGTTGTATTTCATTACACAGTGCTCTTTCATTATGCCTAAAAAACGACTGAGATCCAAATGGTATTTTAAATTTCCCTAGATCTATAAATTTTTTTTCTTAAATTAAAAGTATTTTCCTAAATTTTCCTTCTTAGACTTCAGGTTTTTTTCTTAGACAAAAAGGTCCTTTTAATAAAATTTTTCTAAAAAACGACTGAGTTCTACATCTATCATCGATCTTGGGCTTCATTCACAAAAAAAGCTCTTATATATTGAAATGAAAATGCTGTAAACCTCCTCAATGAAGCGCCTGAGCTTTTTGATTTGCTTCCACGTGCATCCGATGCTGATTGCAAACTTCCTTGTTTTGCTCGAATAACATAACGATGAAAGCATTTATGGGTTATTAAAACGTCACTGGAAAAAAAAGCAAAGTTATTACTTATAACGTTAAAATTTAGGAAAAAAACCCCACAAAACGAAAATGCGAAGAAGCTAAGTTCAATTGAAAATTGACGAAAATTGCCATTTTTTACAAATTCCTTCACAGCGCTCAGCGAGGCAATACTAGCTACAACGATGGCATATGACTGCGCTACGATGAGAAGACGAAAAATGATCAAAGCAAGAAATGAATGATTAAAAAGATAAAAACGAAGAAAGGAATCGATCAATGAAAAAAAAGGAAGATAAAATCTGTTTAAAGCAAAAAGTAAATTAATATGGGAAATACAATGAATTTAAAATTAAATTTAAAAAAACACATTTTTAAAAAAGCAAATTTAAAAAATTAAAACTTTAAAAATCACATTTAAAAAAAAACGAATTTAAAAATCAACAAAAAGGCAATACTCCGACCGCCCAAACAAAAAATTTCGAAATTTTTTGCCTGTCAGTGATGTTACTGGAATGCTTCAGAATAAAAAAAAAGAAATGGCCAGTGTGTAAATAGTAAATTAATTTAGAAAATACAGTGAATTTAAAAAAAGCAAATTTAAAAAATCAAACTTTAAAAAATCAGACTTTAAAAAATCAACTTAAAAAATGTGCATAAATTCAACGCGAATGAATGCATTGCCAAAAAAAACAGCAGTTTCGGTGTTAGATGTATAATCTTTTTTATCTTTCCGCATGCCGGGTGCAGCTAATGGCAAGGCTTTTCAGTCCTGATCCACTCAGGTAAAACAAAAAACGAAAATTCCTAAAATTTTATAAAATTATAAAAAAAATATACCCCGAAAACTATCAAAATTATAAAATATACTCAGAAAACTTGATAAAAAATTTACTTTTTATAAATACCACCAGAAAAATGTCCACCAGCAAGTAGCAAAATGGTGCAATCCAATGGGCGCTTGAACAAATCCGAGGAAATCGTTTCATTGTGCCGCAAAATACATCGATATATCGAAAAAACTTCGTTATCACTTACAAAATATGCATGCGATCCTTCGGCCAACGGCAAATCACCACCATCGTCGTCGTCGTCATCACTGTCCGAATCCAATGAACTCACTTCATCTAAAACAAAATCTTTTGCCCTTCGAGAGCTGGTTCGAAAAAGATGAATTTTTATTGGCGATGAGCCAAGTCGCTTGAAAAAAAAAAAGAAGTCAGCCATAGCGCAATGCATTGATGAAGTAAATAATCTTAATTTCAAATTCATACGTTGAAAAAAAAAGAGGAACTTTAATATTTGGAAAATGGATAGCCATATTTTAGTGAGATATCTTAATGAGGGAATACAGCCTTGATATGCTGATAGGGACACGGAAGCTATTTTTTTTTTTTTTTAATAGATAAGGAGAGTATCATTATCTTAATATTCACTGCAGCCGTCATCCTGACGAGGTCCTGTCGCACGGTGTTGAGTTTGGCAAGCTGCCAATAATTTTGGAACAAAAAAAATTTTAGCAAAAAAAATCAATAAAACTTTCACCAATTTCAGCAAAAAATCAATAAAGTAAGCTACCATCATCCGATATTTTTTGCTCGAATTCATCCTCGGTTAGCAGTGGACGGCCTTGCA